TGTAGGCCTACCCTAGGCAGCTTTCAACATGAAAATGTAGAAATGGACAGAAGCATAAACATAACAATAGCAAAGTAATGGAACAATAGAATAAGTAATGAAAAAGAAAACCATGAGAATATAGTGGTATGAGAATAAAAGATGGATAGGTAGAGAGTAGAGAGCAAGGGAGAGGGGTGAGGAGGTGTTGTCAGCTATCAATCCAGCAGCCACCTCTGCTGTGGTATTCCCCCACTGGATCCTCAATTGGTTCCTTCTGCCAGGCCAATTGGTAGGCAGGTCTTCAAGCTCTTACAGAAGGATAAGAGATTTTAAGGCAGATCTCACCTTGAAGGGGAGGACATTACGAAGGGTGGGAATTAACACAGAGAGCTCTAATGAATAATGGGTGCGTTAATGATAACCACCTGCTCTATGCTAGTTTTCAGCTTACACACTGAAGAGGACATAAAAATATCATACCAGGAACTGAAGATCAAGAACGCAATTTCAAAAGAAATTACTATCTCCAACAGATGCTTAATTAACTGAACAAATTATTGTTTTACTCCACTAGAACAGAGAAAACTGTTGGCAGAGGAGACGAAACGCAAACTGTGACAAACCAAAATGAAGCTGTAACAGCAACAGTTATCACAGTATGCAAATTCCCTGTGCCAGCATTTAGAATGTTTTATGAATACTTTTTAAATGGAATTACACTGGTTGGGGTTTTTTTTTTTCATATTTTCCAAATGGATAATGTGTTTGGATTAAGAGTTGGAATGTGAGTTAGATTCAATTATCTCCACTGCTCTGGAATCACTTTCAATTTTTGACAAATTATCATAAACTTCTGCGAGACGGGAATAACAGTGAACTGGGCAAGGTGACTTTTGATAAAAGAAATAAAAATAAGGAATGTATCACATTCCTAAGGTCAATCAAGCTATTTATTAAAATTGCATTTTATGGTAACTATAATGAAGAAGAAGAGCTACCATGCTATGATACCCTTCTCTAAGCATCCATAAAGGGCGAGAATGATTTGTCTTTGCTTTCTGCCTGTTTACCATTCAGTTCCAAAGTTCACCCCCAACTTCATTTCTATGAAGGATGGAGTATTTTTTTAAAAAGCAATCTAGGCTTCATATTAAAGTCTGCTTTATTTATTTGTGTTAAATTGTCAGCTTAGGTGATACCTACTGTGTAGATTTCTACATATATCAGTTTCCACCTGTTTCACATGGCTTTATTATTAGGATTTCAGAAATGGTGGAATATTTAAATAGATTTTTTGAGAGAGAGCTTTCAAAATACACTCATCTCTACACAAAATATCACTGTGTCACTTTTTTCTTGCTTCATGAACGTATTAATAGAATCCACATCAGAGTTAGCACAAACACACATTTCCAGGCATGGAGTCTTATCCTAATTTCCTATCCAAGTGCAAAACACAATTACATGTTAACTTAGACATTTTACCAGAGTTGAATTTCCCTGATGATATTTTGCTGTTGTAGCTGAAACTCTGCTGTAAACAGGCAATGTTGTATAAATCACACCAATATTTTAGAATATTGAAAATTAAAGTGCAATGTTTGCAAATCCTCCGCTATTGCAAGAAAAAAAAACTTGAGTAAAAATTTGGTAACCATATATTTTAACTGCTAGTTGTCCTCCTGCAGAAATAGATCCACAGGATAAACCACCACAAATCACTAAAATCCTGCCAAAGTGCTGTAAAAATAGCAAGGGAAAAAAACCTCAACATCCAACATATTATTTTTGATTTGTCAGTTTTGTTTCTGCTTTTATTCTAGTAAATATGCATCCAGATACCATCAATCTTTTGATAAAACTAGCGATGTCTAAGTATTTTTTTTTCTGATGTTTAAGTAATTTTTTTTTTCTAAGTACAATGGTAGCTAGATAAAGATGATAAGATTTTAGGAGTGCTGATTCAGCCTGTGTATCTGTAAATGACAATGTCTGGACAAAATTCCTAATTCCACACTAGCTAAAAGAACAAGTATAGCACTACAATGTAGGGTACCTGTTCTTTAAGTTACATTTAATTTTTGCAGATATTCAAAAATGGTACTACATCAAAATGTTGCTGCCTGGACATTGACCAGACAAACATCATTATTCCCTCTTCATTTGATTCATCTGCTTAGTAGTCAGGCAACATTTGAGCTAATATGGTCTGCTTCATAACTGCCTTAACATAATATAATACTGGTTTTTGTTTTTGTTTTCAAAATTAAGTTACTGAAATAACTCTAGTATTGCCTTACAAAAACTATCTGACTTATCCATAGTTTGGCGTAGGCCACAAAACTAAATACAATAAATTAAATCTTGTATTAGAAGGAATAATTTTAAAAATACAACACAAAATTGGAAAGACTCACAAAAGTTAAGCTGCAATTTATTTTCAGACCCTTTATCTAATAAACAGCTCACTGCGACACTTAAGATGAAAATAAATTTATATCATATGCCATTATTTCCTACAGATGGTAATGGATCTGGATATTCTGCTTTTACAGATTATCCTTTGGGAAACTGATTTAATGTGATTCTACTCGATAATTGAAAGCAATGTTTTTCTCTTTTAATTACATTTAAGATTCGCATTCAATGAGTAGCTTAGAATCATGCTAAGTTCAAAACACATATACTATATTATTAGCATACAGGTGTGCCCAGGCCAACAAAATGACAATAATACCTAACAGATATTCCAAGTCTTGAGTTCAGTATTAGCCTAAGGCAGTAATACAAATAAACAGGAAAGAAAGAACACAAATAAACATGAAAGAAAAAAACACAAAGATAAGACAGCCTTCCCAAACCAATTCTTTCTCACTACAGTATATAGAAGACATCTCCTCAATTTCTGGATTTTTTTTTTCTTAAAGTCCAGGTTTCCATTATCCAAAATATCCTCATGTTCCCAGGGGTCTGCTACCTTTTTTTACTTCATTCCCAATTTAATCTTTTCACTAATTTTTTTCTAATACCAGCTTAAGTAAAGTTTTCAATTGCCTCAATAGCCATTTTTATTCAAGTATTATTATCCACCTGTACTTCCTTTAATCTTGTCTATGATGCTGAACACTTGTACTTTTCCTTCACTTATATCTGCTACAGATTTCACCCTTGCCATTAACTATGTTGGACTTTAATCCGACCATACCAACAACTTTTCCTTTTCTCATAGAAACCACACTGCAAACTGCTTAGCTGCCTAAGCAGCTAATCATTCTACCCTGCCACACCAGTTTGCCCAATTTGTGTCAGAGGTTTTAAAAACAGAAATGCAAGGCAATATAGCTGTGCTGGCATTCACTTTCCAAATTTCTATAAAGAACATGGGAAGTAACTATAATAATGAAAGCCATTAGCTGTGGGAGGAAGCAGGCTTGAGGTCATAAAGAATGTTTTGTGGGCACATCTAAAAACCAGCTTAAAAACTATGGAATAATTAGTAAAGCACCACCTCACTGTACATGCTACACTACTCACACAGCCAAAGCAGGATTTGATACTCATCTCCCCACAAAATGCTGTTTGAGCTGCTATATGGAAAATACAAGCTATGGGATTTGTGCATTTTTAAAACGTGACATAACCCCCCCCCCCGCCCCCAAGTCTCCTGGAGTGAGCGACCCACTCAAATCCAAATAAAGCACTAGAAAGGAATATAAATAGTGTTTGCTATGTCCCATGCATAAAATAATAGTTTACAAGCCCATTTTTCTCTCTCCACACATGCAAAGTATTCAAGGAAAAATATATAAATCTCACAGCCCTAAGCATCCATGGCAGGATTACATTTGGCTGAAATCCTGACTTAGCAGTCCCTGGAACAGACAAACCCATAAACACCCCGATTCCCTTTGTCCATCATCGGACACTGAATGGACACCACTGAATCCATTTGGTCTAGTGGTTCAGGCACCGGGGTAGAAAATGGGTGTTTGTGAGTTCAAGTGCTGCTTTAGCCATGAAATCCAACTTTGGTAAACTTTGGGCCAGTCATTCTCTCTCAGACCAACCCACCTCACAGAGCTGTTGTTTGTGGGGCAACCAGGAGGAAGATGATGTGTTGGATGTATTCCGCACCTTTGAGTTCTTGGTACCAAGGAAGGAAGAGAGGGAGAGATCTCAGTGGGAATCGTCCGAAACAGCCCCCTTCCCTTCACTCCGGGAAGAGAGGCCTCCGGAACAGCTCAGGTGTACCACACTCGAGGCCCGATCCCACGTACCCCGCCCCCCTCTTCCCTACAGGGGCTCCGGTGCATAAGCTGTTTTGAGGCTGGCCAGGGCTCCGAAGCCTCGTCGTTTTCCCAAGGCAAGGCAGGCTGCCAAACTCAGGGAAAACTCGGGACTTGCAAGCCCCGAAGATTGGGGGACGTTGTCAGGAAGAGTGGCGCCAAAGCAGACTTTTCCCTGCCGCTCACCCACACACCCCAAATACTCCACACGCACGCACGGACTCGCTTCCTGCCAACTGGTGGAATAAACTGGGGAGGGTCGGGGCGGGGGGGGCTTTTGCTGTAGGGCTGATCGAAGTTTCCACGTCAGACAAGAGAGCGCGCGTCTCTGGGGGTTAGGATAGAGCCCGAAGAGCGACTTAAGGCCACGTAAAGGCACGGGCTTCCCTAAACGCTCCAAGTAAAAAAGGGGTGGTGGGAGTAAGCAGCCTGAGGGAGAAGCAGAGGCGGAAAACTACTCCAGGGTGGTCGGCTTCACCCTCTCATACTCCGCCCTCCCCTCACCCAGGAACAAAACTTCTCAAGCGGCCCCGTGGAAGCCTCGGTTGCCAGCTGGGAAAAGGGAGAAAGGCGGCTAAGCGGTGGCCACCGACGACCTCGCGAGGAAAGTTCGCCTTTCTCTTCCCCCGCACCCCCCGCGCGCTTTCTTCGCCTCCCCGGTCCTCGCTGCTTCCACCCCCCTCCCCACACACCCACTCCCCAATCCTCCTCTTCCTCCTCCTCCTTCCTCACCTTGGGCAGTTCTCGCAGCTGGTTGGCGTCCAGCAGGAGTTCTTCTAAGCTGCGGCTGTAGCGGTAGATTTCCTCCGGCACGGCGGCCAGCGAGCAGTGGCGCTTATCGATCACCTCCACATGACGGTTGCACCGCCACAGCGGGATGCAATGAAACATAGCGGCGGCGAAGCGGCGGAGCAACAACGCCCGCCCGCTCGCCCGCCTCCCTCCGCCTGCCAGACACCCGCCGAAGCCGCGCAGGGCAGGGGAGGCGCGCGCCGCCGGCTCTTTCGGCTCTGCTCCTCGTCTGAAGGGCGCGTTCCGCGTCTGCCCTGGGAGACCCGCGGGGCCGAGGGGGTGGCTGGCCGAGCCCGCCCCTTAGCAACCTCGCCGACGCCGTGCTCTGAAGCCGTCTCCCCACGGCCGCCCTTCCCTGGCGCCCTCTGCTCCGCCTCGTCCTCGCAATTCGTCCCCGAGAGGCAGAAGGAAGGCGGCTTCTGAAATCGATCCGAGGAGGACGGGCGACTGAGGGAGGCACTTTCTCCCCCCTTTCAGCGCCTTGTGCAGTCGCCGAAAGAGCCAAGCGGCAATTGCTCGGGGAGCAAAGAAGACAAGGGGCTGCAGAAATCTTCCTCCGATTGCTTCTTACCGGGAGCTTCTGGTTGCACCGGTGGCAGCGTCAACTCGCAAGTCCCGGGCTGGCTTCCGAAGGCACTGGCTGGCTGCTGGCTGGAGCCTGAGGCACCTTTGGGAAGGGTGTTTTTTTTTTTTTCCCTCCCATTCCAGTGTCTGACCCGGAACAGCCGCTCTCCCTCCTCCTCCTCCTCCTCCTGCTGCGTACTCGCTCGCTCCCTTTCTCTTCTCAAGCTGACATCATCAGAGCCTGGGCCCGCCCTTTCTTTCCTCGCTCCGATGCTGGTATCTGACCCCAGGTCGGGTGACACCGGCGGCAGAGGAGGGCGCCGTCTTGCCAGTCTTCGCGGCTGGGAACTTCGGGTGAAATCGGCCCGGGAGCGGCCGAGGAGCGATGCGGAGAGGCTTTCCGAAAGTTTCGCCTTTGTTAGAAACGCGGCCGTCGGCACGCCGTCTCCCCCGCGCGCTACTTTTGCAAATCACCCAAGTTTTCGGAAAGCGAGGGGTTTTTGTGCGAAGGTGCCGCGCGAGGTCTTTGGCATCTTTAGCTCGGAAGGGAGAAGTTTTGGGGCGTGAGATGAAGGTCCAGTCTTCAAAGGATCAAGAGGACCCGTTTCGTTTCTCTCGAGTTCTGTGGTCGAAGGTTAAATGGGAAGAGAGTGCGTGGGATAGAGAAGAAAAATGTTGCCAAATGGCCATTTTAAAAAAAAAATGAACTTGAACAAATGGCAAGTCCTCGGTAAACTTCGTTGTTTTTGTTTTAAGTGAGCAGAGTTAAGAGTGGTGTTCTGCACACAGCTGGAATGTGAAATGCTTTTGGCTTCAGTTACATTGTTAAACTGTGGGATTTTTCTGCCTGCCTTGTCCGGTGGGTTATGGTGATGGTCCTCTATTTACCATCACAATTGAGACTGATATTTCTGTTGCTAAACCAGACAGTTGTTCAGTGAATTTTGCCCCATTTTACAACCTTTCTTGTCACGGTTGTTAAGTGAATTGCTGCAATTAAGTTAGCAGCATGGTTGTAAAGCAGTGGAGGTGGTATTCATCCAGTTTGCACCGGTTCGGGCGAACGGTAGCAAGGATTTGGCGTGGGTCGCCGAACCGGTAGTAAGTTCTGGCTGGCCATGCCCCCAACCCGGTTGCCTGGTCGCCGCTGGCTCATTTGCCCCGGCCGCCCGATTCTCACCCCGCCCGTCTGACGCTCGCCTTTTAAGGTATTTCTTTTTTCCCTCTCGACAATCAGCTGTTCATATGATCAGCTGTGCGGAATTCCCCTTGCTCAGGCCCAGGGAAGGCAAACAATGGAGGGAGGGGCGGAGCCTAGGCTCCCTTTTTTTTTTTTCTTCCAGAGCCCCAGGGGAGCCTTCAAGGAGCAAAAATGCCAGAGCCTCCTCTGACACCAGGAAGGCCTCAAAACGGAGCGTGGGGGGGGGGGTCCTGCGGGCCCCTCCTGTGCTCCGGGTTTTTTTTCTTCCTGAGCCCCAGGGGAGACTTCTGGGAGAAAAAACAGCCCCCAGGAGGCTTGCCTGAGGCCCAGAAGGCTCAAAAAAATGGGTGGGAGGTGGCTGCAAAAAAAAAAAAAAAAGCCACACCCAGTCACATGGCCATGCCCACCTAGCCTCGCCCACCTAGCCTCGCCCACCAAGCCACACCCACAGAACCGGTAGTAACAAAAACTGAATCCCACCACTGTTGTAAAGTGAATCTGGCTTTCCCATTCATTTTATTTGTCAGAAGGCACAAAAGATGATCACATGACCCTAAGACACTGCAATTGTTATACATATGAGTCATTTGCCAAGGATTTGAATTCTGATCATGTGACCATGGAAGTGCTGCAATGGTCATAAGTGTGAAAAACAATCATAAAATACTTTTCAGTGTCGTGACTTCAAATGGTCACTAGGCATACTGTTGTAAATCAAACACTACCTGTACTACAATCCTGCAAGGCAAATTAGGATTAGAAATGATATGAGGCCAGGAATCCAGAAATTATACCCAATATTGGTCACTAAAATGTCTACGTAGTAATCACTAGAAATACAATATAATATTTCTGGGTTGATGGTAAATTCCTTTCCTTTCCATTGAACAAGTGTAGCCTCTATCCAAAGTCAAGGAGAATAGATAATTGTGATGGTGTTGCTTTTGCAAAACTGAAATTGTTTGTCTCCTTTTTGGAGTTAAACTCTCTTCCCAACTTTTTAGCAAATTAACCATACACATATACTCACATATACTCTTCTGTAAAATACAGCCTTCTGGATTACCAATTAAACTAATAATGCCCATATCCATATATGGAAAACAACAAAGATTTCCAGTTTTGCAGTTGGAACAAAAAAAAAATGACTGGATTTCCATAGCCTTAATAAAACATTTGAATGGATTTGTAAGAAGGATTTGTTTGCAAATGTAACTAGAAGACACAGGTTCCAGTCCTTATCATTCTCTTAAATCCATTCTTTTCCCAATACAATTCACACACTCGCCTTAAGATATTTTGTAGCCAATATCCTTTGTGGCTGATACAGTGGTCGACATAGCTGCTACCTGAATGCATTGATCAGCTTTCACAGAAAAACAAAAGCACTAGTCCATCTCAACAGTGCTGTGTGGACTATGAGCCATGGGTTTTGAAACTCAGGCCAAAAGATTACACAAGGGGTCTTTAAGTTCAAATGTCATGGATAGGATTAGTATTCAGGTTTTGTCATTCTCCCACATTAACAGCTGCTCCCATCTGACTCATGCAGGACATCAGCCCTATTGTACCATCAGAATCTGTTATTTAGGGTACATTCCACAGTGTTTGTACCCCTAATGCTGTGTGTTTGTCTATTGCAATAATGTGGAATGTCCAAGCCCTCAAATAAATAACAGCAGTGCCAATTCTGAGAGGAAAGAGAGAAAGCTATCAGTTCAGTTGGAGTTCAAGTTCATTTAAGGCAAGGGTGAACAACCTGCAAATCTAAAGACGGACAGCCTAAACTGTTGGAAATTGCTGGTGTTTTTTCCTGCCATTTCAAAGCAAAAAAAATGTAAGATAGTGTTGCTTTCTCACCATTTCTAGGCAGGAGTTAATATTAGGAGCTTCTGTGGTGCGGTGGTTAGAGTACAGTACTGCAAGCTACTTCTGCAGCCAGCTGCCTACAATTTGGCAGTTCAAATCCCACCAGGCTCAAGGTTGACTCAGCCTTCCATCCTTCCGAGGTGGGTAAAATGAAGACCCAGATTGTTGGGGGCAATATGCTGACTCTGTAAACCACTTAGAGAGGGCAGTAAAGCACTATCAAGTGGTATATAAGTCTAAGTGCTATAGCTATTATATAAATAATGTAGGCTTAACATCATTTTAAAAGCAAAAAGTTGTCAAAACTGACTATATGATAGTCAGAAGTAAAATAAATAAATAAAAATAGCCATTTCCACTTTGCTTTACCACTAAGCCAATTATTATTCCCAGTTTATTCTCCCCTGACCCCGAGAAGTATGACGCTGAATGCTAGTGGTCAGTAGGGAGGGGGGTCATCTAATGTGAGTTGTAATGGCACAACATGAACTCTGCCACACACATACTTAAGTGCAACATTGTGGCACAAGGAAAGTGCAAAGAGGTAGAACTTGCATCATGACATCAAAGCACAGATTTCATCTTTGTTGCATCATTGTGCTTAGAAATGGATGCCTATGGCACTGAGCCCCCAGGGCTTATTCTTTGAAGAAACTACTGTAGTGTTCAAATTACAGAGGGAAGTAGGGGCTCCTTTAGTCAAAATCTCGTGCACCTGATTTTCTCATACATGACAATATTCTATCTCACACATATCTTTTTATGTAGCTAAGGAGTTCAGCAAAAGTGGAATTAAAATTCTCTCTTGTCCTTGCTGTAATTTGAGTGGGGTGGGGGGTGACAGACACCTTCAAGTGCTAAAAGTAAGTAAGGGCTGAAATAACTAAATCAAGAGTACAACTAGGGTCCAGAGTAAGGTGAGGCTTTACACTAGTAGCAGACTGAAGACAAGCAGGTAAACAAGGAAACATTAGGTGTTAGATGTTAAGTGTGGAATAAGTCTATTATGTGCATAAGTTTCTAAAGGTTAGTGGCTATATTTTCTTGGTATACTTAATGAGGTTAGTGGCTACATTCACTTGGTATGCTTAGGTAAAGGTAAAAGTTCCCCTCGTACATGCATGCTAGTCATTTCCAGCTCTAGGGGGCGGTACTCAAAGATGTTTCCATGGTCATGTGGCTGGCATAACTAAACACCGAAGGCACACGGAACGCTGTTACCTTCCCACCAAAGGTGGTCCCTATTTTTCTACTTGCATTTTTACATGCTTTCGAACTGTTAGGTTGGCAGAAGCTGGGACAAGTAACAAGAGCTCATTCCATCACGCAGTGCTAGGGATTCAAACCACCAAACTACCATCCTTTCTGATCGACAACCTCAGTGTCTTAGTCACTGAGCCACCACGTCCCTTTGGTATGCTTAATGAGAATCAAATAAAGCACATTAGAGTGTAGTCTGAGGAGTGAACATAGCCACCTATGGTTTCAGCAAACCTAGGCTTACTTAGTGTGATTGTTTAAATATTGATTAAAATTAACCTTAACCCTAGAGGTTCCCATTCCTGCTTAAGCTGTCATAGCAATGCAGGAAATAATACATCTTACACTTTTAGTATAAACAGTTTGCACCTGACCCAATGCACGTTCTTTAAATGGTTCTTACAAAAAAAAAACCAGTGATATCCTGAAAAACATACAAACACAGAAACATAGTAAATAATCATTCCTACTAAATAATCATTCTTTAAAACCACAGTCATAAGAACATACTTATCAACAAGACATTTCCAAATGACTACGCCCAGAGTTTTACTGTACCTCTTTTATGAGCGATATAACATTAATAGCTAATACAATCATTTTAACATTTGTGACCCAGTGACGTACCAACTGAGTAGCAGGAAGTTCCAGGTTCAAGTCCATTTTCAGCAAAATCTATAAATACATATATTGTTCTTCCTGTTAGCTTTCAGTTTAATCCTAATGGTAAAATGTGTTTACAGTAAACTGTCTAGGAGATTTTCTTGTTTTCCTAAGTTGGGAGTTAATATATGCAACAATATTAAGATACAATAAAACCTTGTTGGTTTTGTTTTGTGTGTGTGTGTGTTTGTGCTAATGTTGGCTATTTTCTAGAAATGGATCTGGTGGTAGTTCAAGCCTTCAATATATTCTATTATTTGCTATCACAGCAGTTTCACTCCATCATGCTATGGTACTTCGTAAATATATAATTCTGTGAAATTCTATTGAGCTCCACTGGTCTTCCAAATTTTACTGAATGAAACCACAATCTCCATGTATCAGTCAGATATTAACTGATTTTCATCCACTGGATCTAAATTCTACATCTTGTTAACAAAGGTATATTCTTTATTAAGTGTTTTAAATAATGAAAAATGTTACCAAAGGAAAGAGTAATTTTTCATGGCTAGTGCGCCTGCATTTTTATGTTTTCTTTTAAGCATTCCAGAAACCACTAATCAGAAATTCCAGTATGTTAAACAGAACTCAGAGTAGATTAGACTGATGCTTATTTGCTACTTGAAAGCTGTGGGCGATAACCAGCAAAACTATCATCTTCCCTTGGGGAGGTATGCTCAGAGGTGGGGAGTGAAATCTGGAGAATCCTTTTTCCACGTCAGGAATGCAGTTGTTTGTTTTATAAAACTGGTGAAATGAAACCAGGAGATCTTCAAAAGTTGTTTGGTGAATAAGAAACAACACATCAATAAACTTCATAATTATAGAGGTGTGTTATTCAATCAATTATTTATGGCCAGAATGCTGCAAAGCAAGTTATAGACATA